AAATAAAATAATAAAAACATAAAGTTACATAATTGGGAATTCGAATTCCAAGTGTGTTGGTGAGACAAGTCATAACACAGTCCTTGACCACTGCACTACATTACATGTACTTGTAGGTTAGGTTTAGGTTGTACACACATGGGTTACAGCCTCAGTGTCTGACAACACTCCTGGTTTGTGAAAGGCCCTCCCATGGAGGGGGGGGGGGAGTCTGGATTTCACCAGGATGACCCTGTGAAACCGTTGGGTCGGGGAGGTACATGGGTTGGTATAGCAATTGCACATCTGGCAATGCTATACAACCCAAGGGGGGAAAAACTATGGCCTCTTTTGGCTGTCCACGATTGTAATATATAGATCGTGAGCGCAGATTGTCATATGCAAATCCTGGATTGGATTTTCCTGGCTGTGCATATGACGCAGTCTGAAAATTCTTCTCATATATTGATGTGGCTGTTTGGCACGCCTCGTAAACTGGGTGGTACATATAGGGACAAATTGGTGGAGGGGATGGTTGCAAAGGTAGTTTAGGATAACGAGGTGGTCTTTTGGAGGGACAGAGTGGCATGGCACCGGTAGGAGGGGATGGATGGATGGGATTGAGGAGGAAATGAGAGGGTTGGGAGAGCAATTGGTTACACCTTAGACCATCTCCACCCGGGGAGGTAAACTGCGGTGGTAAGCCAAATTTACCCCCCCCCCCAAGCTCAAAATACCCCTGCCACCGGTGTGAGAACTCCTTTGGGATGGGTTGGCAGTCCTTGAGGGGGAAATAACAATATGATATTTCACTAGATAATATTTACTGTTACGGGTGGTTTGAAAGACCTGCCCCTCTATTTACTACACAAGAATTCTGACAACAATTTAATTTATTGTTGTGGCGTAACTTTATGATGGAGAAAACTTATATGTAGTAGTCTCTATCAGACCTAGATCAGTATGTAATTCAATACAAGATGGTTGTACAACCTTTTACACGGTGAATGTGGGTGTGAAAACAATCCAAGT